CCACAGAGCTCCCACAGCAGGCAGGGGGCTCCTTCCCCAACTTGAAGTGTGCCCATGCCCAAACCCTGTGGGTTGGCTGCTGGAAGCAGCAGCCACTTGACCCATTAAGGTGCCCAAAAAACTGGGAAGGAGCATGTGGAGGACAAACACTGTGCCCTGCTTCTGGCTGGAAAAGATCAGGTGACCCCTCTGCACCCCAACCTCACAGCTGCATCCCCCTCAGCATCACTGGGGCCTCCCCATCTCCCCTGTTGCCCCCAAAGCGTATTGGGGTCTTTGGCCTGAGCAGCAGAACATGTCATGAGAAGCAGCATTTCCCCCCTTTATGCATTTTTCTTTTCTGAGCAGGAAGGTAAAAATAAATGGAGAGGAAAACCAAGTATTGATGGAACAGCTGGGAGGGAGAAAAGAGCCTTTCGTCTCGCTGAGAGCTCTGACCTTTCAGCAGGAGCTCCAAAAAGCCTCCCGGAAAGCTGCCTCGCTGGCGTTTGCTGCGGGTGCAGCTCTGGGAGTTGTCAGCCCCTCGCCCAGGGGATAACGCTGAGACGTTCATTAACCTGCAGGCCCCAGGAGCCTTGGAGACCCCAGGAGCCTGGGAACTCCCTGCTGGTGAGATCAGGTTCTGAAATCCCGGTCCTCCCAGCTCATCCTCACCAGGTCCCGGCTTTGCCAGGTCCCTGTCCTGCTGACACAGGAACTGGAGAGGAGGCAGCAGACGGACACGCACTGGGGGAGGCACAGCACCTCCACCTCCCGCTGTGCAGGAAGCAGAAATTCTTTGGTCAGCCCCAAAACACGGCCCCTGGGGCAGGAGGCGAGGCAGGACCAGCAGCTGGGTCAGTGCCGAATACCACAGCTGGGTGAAGCAGTGGTCAATGCCCACGTGCTTGTGGGGAGAAGGGAGAAAATCACCAGGACTGGATTTTCTTCCTCCAACAGAAGGCTGTGCTGCCCAGCAGAGAGCCTCCCTCCTGCCCAGGGAACCTCAGCTCCAAAGCCAGAAGACAGGGATTAAAGCGGAGGTAGTGAAACCATGGCATGAAACACAAGGAGAGTCCAGGCTAATAAATATTTCAGGCTGACAACTATTCCTATCCTTGGGAGTTCATTCATCAGGCTCCCAGCACAGCCTCCACGTCCCAGGATCATAAATACCAAAGCCTATTTTAACAATGCCTTTTGGTGTGGCTAATACCAAAATCACACCGAACTTTTCCAGCCCAGCCTATACCCTTGGTTATTTCAGTGTAACGTATAAAAGGCTATACTCAAATATTCCTCTGTCGTAATTACAGCCCCTGGCTGTGTGGGATCCACCCCAAACTGATTGCACCTTGTTTTGATACAATTCCAGAAAATGACAACAATTTGGAGACAATGGCAGGCATTAGTACCTCAGCCATACACACAGTCCCCATTCCACACCTCTGCTGGTGGAGGGAAAGTCTGATCCCAAATCAGAAAGAGCTGCTTGTCAGAAGTAAGACTCATGGGATTAGCTTTTGGGCAGTATTTCAGAGTTTTTCCTTAAACTAGTTACGAATGGCTAGGTTGCCCTGCTGCTACCACAGGCAGGTCAAAAACCCCAGTCGGGCACCAGGAGCTTCATGCTGAACACCTCAGCTGGAGGGAACCAGAGCCCTTCACTGAAGCACATCCCTCCCTGCCACCAACGGCACAAAATGGCAAAGAGGAAACTTGTTCTGCTCCTTTCTGTCCCACAAATAAATTCAGCCCCTTACACCAGCCCCAAACTGCGACACCCCAGCACCAACCAGGCTCCTCTGCTCCTACCTCCGAGCACCATCTTGGTCTCCAGCTCTCCAGGCAGAGCCCTTGCCTACCGGGCACTCTTAAGCACCTTTCGTTCATGAATTAAGTCCCTGACAGCCCATATCTCCATGATCAATATGTTTGTTTATTAGCAGCAGCTGCTGTGTTTTAGCAAAACGGGAGGGCTCCAGCAGGAGCAGCGCGCTCTAACCACAGCGCAGAGCTTGGGACGGGGAGGAGAAGGACCTCCTGATGGCAAATGGGAGCCAGGCTGGATAAGATTTCACGCTAATGACCCTTTAATTGAAATCACTGCTCGGGACAGATTGCTCAGCTCGGGGAGAGCTGCGCTGATGGCTCCTGCTTTGGCCACTCCTGAGATGAAGCCATTAACTCAGGAGCAGTGAACAAAAGCAAGCGAGGGGGATATGAGGAGGCCATCCATCGCCAGCACAGCTGATCTGTGTGCCCAAGAAGCCCAGGCCAGCAGCTGGTATAACTGGAGACCTGCACAAAGGGAGGAGAGGGTGTGTGGCTTGCTGGATCTTCTGCTTTTTCTGCAGATCTGGACTGGATGCAGCCCCTCCTTAGCCCCATGTGCTGGTCCTGTGTGCTTAGGAAAGAGAAAGAGGACACCTGGGTCTCCTCCCTGCCTCTCAGTGTGGCCATAGCCTATGCTAAGTGTTTGTTTCACCTTCCTCACAGTCTCACTGCATGGGCATTGCAAGGCAGTAATGCCTGTCCGCCCTAATGCATCCCAGGCAGCGAGATGGACACAGAAAAGGAGGAGCTGGGGAGAAAGGAAAATCCTGGTCCCCTTTCTTCTTGTGCAAGTGAAAAAGCAAATTCCCTCCCTGAGGTTCCTTTTCACTTTACGTCCCCTGCCATGGTAGCAGGGCAGCATCACGCAGGAACACAGGCAGGGCTGGCCCTGGCTGGACTAGAAGGGTTGGCACATGCAAACACCCCAAAATATCCCCGTGAGATTTGAGAGGCAAGGGTTTGCACTGTGCCAGCCGTGCACCTGAGTGAGAGCGCGCTGCTCCTGGGTGGCAGAGAGCTGCAGGAGCTGCTGCAGGAGCTGCCCACCACCTCCAGCAGGGAACCTCCCCGTACCCCGCACCATTCGTGCCCCAAGGTGCTGACAAATCCAGGTTTGTCAGAAGCAGGCAGCTCTTCTGGGCCTGTTTGTTCAGTGGAAATGTTGATGTGCGTCTCTTGCAATGCAAAGAGAAGTCTGAGCGCACAGAAAGGAGGGTTACGGACCTGCTCTGAATGCATTTATTATTCCCATTAATTACTATGCCTGCTAAAGAGGACCAGCTGTTCTAGGAGGCTGTGGTACCAATTTATCAGGAGAAGATTCCAACAGAAGTCACAGAGTTTTCCTCTGAACTTGGGAGGATGGAAGATGGAGGTTTTTTAATTAGAACTTGTTATTAATGGGAACGTAGCAAATTAAAAATAGTCTCCCTCCCCCCTCCCTATTATACGGAGCTCTGATCTCAATTAGAAAGATCAGGGACTAACCATTGAATGGGAATTACTGAGATGAAAGCTGATTGAAAGACAAAAAGCGAAGACGGAGGCATCGCGGGGAGAGAACGGGGACGGGGAACAATGAGCGGAGGCTGGCGGAGGCTGCGTGCAGCTGACGGGGGCAGAGGCTCAGCCAAGACCTGTGGCTTTCTGCCTCCTCCTGCAGCGAGGACAGCCTCCGGGGATGGCTGTGAGCAGGAGTCCTTTGCAGCATCCCATCCCTCCTCCTCCCATCTCCCCCCACCATCGCTGTAGGACCCCTGGCTCAGTTTGGGGGCTCCGTGCCCCTACCTCTGCCCTCCCGCAAGCCATCAGCCCAGGGTCCTGCCCCACCTCCCTGGGCTCATCCTGCTCTATCCCAAACCCAGGAGCCCCAAGGATGCCCTGAGCTCAGCAGGACACCATCCCGTTGCAGGTGCACAGCATGGGTTGGGCTTTGAAATCTGTTTGCTTTTACCAACCTGAGCCGTGCCAGGCTGACCAGACCCATCTCCTACAAGAAAAACTCAATTAATGACTTCTTAACGAGAACCTCTGCTGCTTCTCCTGGTCCTTCTCCGGGCACCTGAGGACCAAGGCCCCTGTCTTTCTTCCAGCAGATAATCCACGCCATATTCTGGGGCAGGCAGGGACCTTAGGCTGAAATTACAGCCTTGCTTACTAATTGCTGCATGTTCTCTCTCCGTAGGTATATCATTGCCAGCAATTAGTGCAAAATCCTTTCCCACTCTTGTTAAGTTCCTGTGCTGCAGTTAAATACTCCCAGATCCCATTTAAATGATTTCAAATGCAATTCATTCTGGCTCGTTAAATAATTCCACAGCAGTGTTTGTCGTCTTCTCTCTCTGTTTTCCAACAGCCACTTTCTCCCAGGAAGAGTGCGACAACTGAAGAACAGAGAGGAAAGGGAAAGAGAGAGGAAAACTGAGAAATCTGGCGTCCATCCTCTGCACGTATATTTTCTCTTATGTTTACGCTCTCTCCTCCAGCCATGACTTTCCTGGTAGCTGGATTTTGTGGGGGTCCACGTGCTGATAACGGGCTGCTCAGGTCCAGCTGGGACTGCCTGGAGGAATCATGCAGGTGGCTCTGTGGACATCTGTTGTGTTTCTCCCACTTCTCAGCCTTATCCCTGCTGTCCCTTCCCTTTTCTAGCTGCCACCCTACACCCCCTGCTGCTGGCCCAGCATCCCAAGCCACTGCCCACCTCACCCAGAAGAAACCCTTCACCTCTGATCCCCCATTAGGTGCAGGTGCAGTGGAGGGGAGCAGCCAGGCTGAGCTCCTTGCCTGCCATCTCCACCCGATGTGACATCCCACAGCCCTCAGTCACAGCCGTGGGGTCCTGCCCTAGGACCAGGGCTGCCCCTGCCCCTCGAACACAGCCCTGGTGCTGTCCTCCCCAGCACGGCTGCACTCCACCACCTTTTGGTTTCATTTCCTGGCAGTGCTGCCAAGTCTCAGGTGTCCGCTGCAAACTTCCCAATATTTAGTGTTTTCCTTAAATCTGCAGCTCCCTGAGACAGGTGATTCAGCAAGACTCAGCTTCCAGTTTACATGGAGAAAGAAAAAACAAAAAAAAAAAAAAAAGAAAGAAAGAAAAGTTCTAATTCTTGTGGCTGGGGGGGAGAATAAATAAAAGCTGTGAGTGGTATTTGAGCACAACCTACTAGTTCCAGAGCCAGAAGGCAAGGGAAAAGAAAACAGGATTTAATGTCATTGTTTGAATTTGGAGACAAGGCTCCCGAGCTCTGAGCATCAGGGGTCAGCGCCACGGCATCGCTGTGCCCCTGTGCTTGACAGGAGGAGAAGGAGCCGGGCTGGCAACCTCAGGCTCACCGTGAGGGAACAGCACCCCGTCCATCAAGAGTATCCAAACACCCGCTGCAATTCCAGCAGCTCCTTGTTCCCTCCTGTATCCACATGAAATGCCTGAAAACGCTGACCTGCTCCCACCAGGGATGTTAGGGGACGCCGGCTCCGTGCGCACCTCTCCGCAGTCCGCGAGTCCTGGGGGTCCCAGCCTGCGGAGCTGTGAAAAGGTTGCAAGCAAAGCAATTTCCTTCCTGCCACTCAGCAGTCTGCGGCTCTGCTTCTGTCTGGAAGTTTGTAGTGGCCCTCGGGTTGGTGCAGCTGAACGGCGCTGGACAAAAGGTGCTGGATTGTCGGCGATGAAGGGTGCAAGAAGGGAGCGCCGGCACCAGGAGGGCAGCTCCCGGGCTGCCTGCACAGAGACGGAGAGAAGTTCATGTGGGCAGAGGCATTCACAGGGTGCAAAACTTGGCTTTGTGTTTAACTGCGTTTGTTTGAGGGTTTCAGAATGAATTGCAGGAGCACGGATGAGCTCCTCGAGCCGACTTATACCCAGGGCAGAGCACGGCTTTGCTCCCTGCCAACGATCCTCCAGAAACATTTGATGAGAAACGGGAATTTAGTTGGAAGGGAAGGAGGCACCGAAAGAGATGAAAGCAAGTTTCAGAAATGTCACGAGAGTGTTCACACAGCAAAGTTTGCTGCTGAAAATTAACTCGAGTGGCCGCAGACCGGAGGCTGGGACGCCAGCTCAGTGCCAGGCAGTCACGGGACGGTCCTGAAAAACACCTCTAAAATAAGTGGGGTGATGGAAGGGAAATCTCCGCCTGAAAAATGTGTGTCCCCATCTGTTAAACAATATTCAGGTGCTCCTGCATTTACACTTTCTCCAGATTTATGCGGCGGTGGCTTTCGAAGGCAGATTGTCTATGAGAAGAACAGATGGAGGGAGCAATCCTCCCATCCCAGCTCTGCTCCAGGACTGAAGAAGTTTGTAATCTGCTTCTTGTCTGCCGAGCCAAGGCTCCAAATGAAGCCCCCTCTGCTCCAACACGCTGGGTAGCTCAGGAACCTGTGGCAGAGCCCAGAAAGCCCCGTTTTTCCTCATCCCTTTCTGCAGGTTTTTCCATCAGGTCCTATTCACGGTGCCAGGAATTTCTGTGTGAGCACCAAGAAGATGGGGCAAAGGGAGCGGGGCAGCCGAGAGCAAATTTCCTGCCTCCCCACAGGTACAGCAGAGCATTTTTCCAGATGTCTGCCTGCTCCCCAGGCTTCGTGCCACATGGGTGAGCGAAGCCTTCGGGCTCATCAGCACCGAATTTGCTGCGAAATGGGAAAAATCATTTCGCGAAAGCAAAACAATCCCCAGTCGTATCGGCATCGCAGCTCTCCATCTCTCTGTTTCCTCTCTCTCTGTTGACATTCAAAAGGAAAACAATGTGATTGTTAATTACAAACTGTTTCAAATGTATGCAAGAGACTGTTTCAGAGCCAGAGCCAGCCCGAGGCAGGAAGGCTGAGGACACGACGTGTGCCGAGCTGCGTTAAAGGGCAGCAGGTTCCGCTGCAATTAATGCTGATGCAATCACCGTGCCAGACACCAGGTGGAAACATCACCTTGCGCAGCTTCCCACCCATCTCTTCTCTACCTACCCGGCTTCACTTTGGGCCGAAATACCAAGGGAGAGCTTTGCATTTCGAAGAAGTTGGTGCATAAGAGATGTTGTGATTCATGAGCAGCGCATCGGTGTGCCGGTGCCCACAGATAAACCAGCAGCCCCTACGGAAAGCCTGATGCTCATCTTCTGCTGGCAAGTCCAAGGAGCAGGGAGCACGGATGGGATTGAGGACCCCAGCCCAAGGCTGGCAACTCAGCCCCTGTCGGGAGAAGGGCAGGGCTGGAGCTGGGTGCACCACTTAGTGCCCAAATGTGTTGTTTTGCCCCAGTCTGGATGATCTTTTTAGTCCCTTCGTGGTCCGTGGGGAAAGCACAGTCACGGCAGCCTGATGGTGAAAGAGCTGTAAGCACAGGAGAGGGTTGGGATATGGTAAAAAGGTAAAATATGGAGTGGTGTGCACAGTACCTTGTGTGTGCTGGGCAAGGCTGAAACAGGCTCAGGTGCAGCCACAGGGACGTGTGTGGCACACACGGAGCAGACCCAGGTGTGTGGCACAAGGACAGCTGAGAAGCAGCAGCTCGGGGAAGAGGGATGCTCACTAGGTCCTGTCCTTGTGCACGGTGTGCTCCTGCCTTGCACACAAAACCCCTGGGCAAGGAGAGGGGTGGCAGGGACAAGTGCGGGTGGCGGAGAGGGGAGGAGAGGCAGAGAGGTTTGTGCTTCCACCTGCTCCCTGCGCTGCCGTTCAGAGGCAGCCAGGCTGGGCTGGCTGTAAGGAAGGAGACAGCACCAGCAGGCTCCTGTGGTGCCCTCTCCTCTGGTCTGCTGCCCACACACTCCGCGGGACTGGGAGCTGCAGACAGGAAGGGTGAGCAGAGCTCGTCCCAGAGCTGAGCCCTGCGCCTCTCCGCCAAGGAACGTGCAAAGGCCCCAGGCTGGGCAGGGAGAGGCTTTGGGGAGCAGTCCCCCAGAGGGCAGCTCCAGGGAGACCTTTCCTCAGCCCCCAGAAGAGCCTGGAGCAGGCAAGGGGGTGTGAGCCCATGCACGGGCTGCAGGGTGCCAGGACAGCAAGGAAAAGCAGAAAAGTCCCACAGGACTCCACAGAGTGCAGGGAGGCTGGCCAGGCTGTCTCCTTCCCACCTCTTGGAAACTGCTCAGAGGGGGGCGTCCCTTTGCTCTGAGCCCCCCCCCAAGAGCTCTCACCCACCTTGTGGATGCCCATTTCCCCTCCTGCCCTGCTTCCTCACCCGCACCCCAGCCACCGCTCAGCCAAACCGCCTGGGGTGCTTTGCTGTCCCCTGCCCTGCTCATCCCCAGCTTTATCCCCCTGCACCTGGCTCCTCCTCCCCCAAAACGCTGCCCAGGAGCACCACAGCTCCCTGGCAAACCAAAATCCTCCTGCACTCCTCCTTCTCTCCCTCCCCAACCCCATCCACATGCCCGGCACCTTCCCTCCCCGCAGCCCCCCATCGTGCCAGCGGTGCCCCCACCTCCACCACCCCAGCAGCCTCCCCGAGCCCACTGCCACCATTTCGCCCCCCCCCAAAAAAAGAGGGACCAGGGGTGGCCATGGCCTCTCTCCGCGTTGTGGCTGCGCTCCTCTTCCTCCTCCTCCTCCTCCTCCTCTGCTCGCAGCCTTCCTCCCTCCCTCCCACGGGAGCGGTGACTAATGCCGCTCGCGCACGCTCCTCCGCGGCGTGCATCATCCCGCGGGGGTGTGCGAGGGTGAGGAGCGGGCGCAGGCGGAGGAAAGGGGGGAGAGCTGGAGCCGGAGCGTGAGACGGGCTGGGGAACCTGCGTGGGGGCTCGGGGGGGGACAGCCCGGGGGCAGCGTGCTGGTAGCAGGGTGCAGCAAGGCTTGGGGATGTCCAGGTGGTGCTTGGAAAGGGAACGTGGTTCACGGGGTGGTCGTCGTGAGCGGGGTGAACCTGGAGAAGGTGGGAGCAGGGGAGCACTGGGAAGAGCATGCTGCTCGTGGTTTTATTGGGATCAGGTGAGAAAGGGGGAGTGGGGGGTCAGGGAGAATGGCTGAGGGTAAGGAGGAGACAGCGGGGTGGCCCCGCACTGCCCCGTGTCCCTTTGGTGGGCTGCTCAAGGAAAGGAACTGCCCTGGGCAGGCACCTCAGGGACCTTTCCCTGCCCCAGCTGTCCCTCCAGCCCCAGTCCCCACACAGGGCAGTGCCTTGGGGGACTCCGGGTGCCGAGGGATGCGGGATGCTGAGGGGTGCAGGAGGCAGCCCCAGAAAGCCAGATCCACACAAATTCCCATCCAGCCAAGGAAAACCTCACCGCACTGAGGTTTTCTCTCACCTGCAGTGGCCCATCCAGCCTCGGGTGCCTGTGTGCCATTTACCTGTGCTCCCGTGGGGACCTTGGAGGTGGCTCCTGGGGGCTGCAGGACCGCAGCCAGAGCCACCCTTGCTCCCTGGGGTGACCGCAGCCAAGATGATCTCAGGTTTTGGCTGCAGGATGGGTACCAGATCCCCAGCTACAGCCACCCCCCTGCTCCCGGGACATCCAGGAGCGAGACCCTTTGCCCTCGCCCTCGCCACCCTGCCAAGGGAAGGCCGTGCGCTGCGTTTAAACAAGCCGGCTTTAACACGGCTCTGTTTTCCAGGCACAGGGGGGTGGTTTTTCTTTACAAGCCCACTTAAGAGCGGAGGAAGGCTGCAGGGCCGGCGTCCCAGCGGGCTCCGGCGCCCCGCGCTGCCAACCGCAGCCCCGCGAGCCTGCGGTAATGGCCTAGAGAGAGGGGGAGAAAGCCAGAGCCGTCTGCTAATGCGAGCGGAGCAGACAGAGCTGCCTGCCCCTCCTCCTCCTCCTCCTGAGCCCTGCCCAGATGGTCAGCCTGGATTTCGGGGCACCAGGGGGGCTGGAAGGGGATGGGGATGGGGTTAGGGATGGGGATGTGGTTAGGGATGGGGATGGGGTTATGGAAGGGGATGGAGAGGCAGCTGGGGTGGTGGGTACGATAGGAAAGGCTGTCACTGAGAGTCCGGGGGGGAGGTCCCTGAGGTCCCTGGCAGGTGAGGCTGGCTGCAGAGGACAGCCTTTAGCAGGTCTGCTTGGCTGGAAAGAAGCAGCGTGCTGCCTGGTGCCACCTGAGCGGGTTGCACCAAGTCCCCATCACTGACTGGAGGCAGGTTCAGTGCTCACAGCCTTGGTGCTCCTTTTTGTCAGCTCCTTTTTATCCCCCTTAGATGGGACAGGGATGGATGCAGAGCACAGGGCGCAGACATTCTTTGCCTGGACTCTGCCCAGCTCTCACCAGAGACGCCCTGGGATGGTTTGGGTATGCTGCAAGTGTCCAGGCCTCTGTTTGCAAAGTTCCCAGGTGCAGCAGTCAGCAAAAATTGAAGCAGCAGGTCAACATCTGCGCAGACTCAGAGAATTTCTCAAGACCCAAAAAATCCCCCGAAACCTCACACCCCATCACCAGCCCGGTGACCACAGGAGGCGTGAGCCCACAGCAGTGGGGATCAGTGCCATAAACCATCAGCAGCTGCTGGAGCCCCAGGCAGCAGGTTTCTTAGAGGGTCCTGAGCATTTTTGGCACCTCCAGACACAAAAATTGGATTCCCGGGAACGCCCCATCCTGGGCTGCCCCACGCCTCCATCCATCACATCGGGGCAGGCTCCTTGACCACCCCAAGGGTCTCAGGGCTCCTGGCAAAACCCTTTGTCAGGTCCTACAGGCAGGTCTCTGTTCCAGGCTGAGCCCCTCAGCACCAGGCAGTGGTTTGGGCATCGAAGACGGAGCAGACACCGCCTGCAGCTCAGCGGTGCTGTGCAGGGACTGCTCGCAGGGCTCTGCTGCTGGCCAGGTTCCCTGCTCGGACAGCATCCACCAACAGCCCTGCTCCCGGCGGTGTGAGCACAGGTTTGTGTCAGCTGGAGGTATGAGGCTGAAATGAAGACAAATGAGAGCAGAAGGAATGAAAAAAAAAAAGAAAAAGAAAAAGAAAAAGAAAGAAATCCCTCTTCAAAACACATTTGAACTCAGGATGAAAAAACAACTCGGCAGCGAGGGTTTCTTTTCTTCTTCTCCCCAAACTTCAAGAACTCAAATGTGGGTGTGAATATCACTTTAAGGATTTATAAAATGACACATGGCCTCACCTGTCAGCATGCCAAAATCTGAATGTCGGTTTTAATTACACCGAATATTTTACTTTCTTATGCAGAGGCATAATCAATTATCTTATTTAAAGGCATTACGATAATGTGTGTGTAAAATGGAGCCATTCCCTGTATTGCATTAGATTCTCTAATTATAGGAGAATGTTTGGAGCTAAAATGTCAGCCTGTCATCTGGCGGGTGTGTAATTCATGATCTGCATTCGCCGGCGCGGATGGAACTGACAAAAATTGCATCCATTCCCTTCCACAGCTTTGGCCTCAAATTTGCCTGGTCTGGAAGTGACAAATCCCCCCCGCCCATCAGTACTGAATACAGAAAGTCCTGTCCCATCACATCCCATCTGATTCCATCTAATCTGATCCTATCTCATCTCATCCCATCCCACCCCATCCCACCCCATCCCACCCTATCCCATCCCATCCATCCCAACCTATCCCATCCCATCCTATCAATCCCAACCTGTCCCATCCCATCCATCCCATCCCACCCCACCCCACCCCATCCATCCCAACCTATCCCATTCCATCCTATCAATCCCAACCTGTCCCATCCCACCCCACCCCACCCCACCCCATCCCATCCCATCCCATCCCCAGCATTGTAGGGACCTGACTTTGAACAAGTGCTTCCTACTTGTGGGTGCCTGTAGCAAAACCTCAGTGTGCCCGGAGGACACGTGCGAAGCACATCCCATGCTCTGGGCGAGCACAGCACCATCAGGATGTGTCGAGCACCCCCCTCCCACCCCTCCTGGTGGGAGAAGCCAAGGCAGGAGCGGCAGCGGGGCAGCACGTGACTGCAGAAATCATCGGGGACTCTTATCCGCCCTCCTCTGAATTACTAATAACGAGCCCCCTCCAACTCCCTGTTATTAAAGCAGAGGGATTAGATAAAAATAGTGCCTGTTTCTTGGGAGCCCAGCCCTTTCTGTAAGCAGTACCCACGTGGAAGCCGCCCGGAGGCTCCCCTCCTGGTTCCAGTTAGCTGGGTTCTGCAGGGCAGCTCCTGGTCCCGTCCATGCTGTCCCCTCGGGGTCAGCAGCCACGCGGGGCAGCGGGGGGAGAGGAGCCCCTTTGGAATGGGGAGAATGAAGGGTTTGGATATTTTTTTTATTATTATTATCCATTAATTATGCAGCTTTTGAAGTGAGGGAGGAATATGGCCCTGGATGCAGTCAGCCAGCACTTTTAGGGGGCACCCCAGGGGGTGACGAAGGTGAGATCTGGAATCTGGTGGTGGTGATGCACGCAGGACGAGGGGCAGCGAGGACCTTCACCCTAGGCAAGGCACCTCAGCAGCACCGTGACGAAGAGGATGGTCCTGATGGTGAAGAGGATGGTCCCAAAGAAGAAAACGCAGGACCCGGGTGCGCCCCTGGGCTCTGCTCATCGCCCCTGCATTATCCCGTGGAGATGGCAGCCCTGGCACCGCTTCCACCTTCCCTGGCTCCCCCTGGCACAGGGGTTTCATAATGGAGGCATCCCAAAGCTGCCAAGGAGCCGCGTCATGCCATTAAGAGGCTTATTAAAAAGTGATGCTCCGATTTAACACCTATTAGCCAGCGCAGCGCCCTTCCTCTGCGCGGGGGAGCCTGCAAATGGAAGCCCCAGCTCCCAGCAGAACCCTAAGTGGCCGAGTTTAACTTTATGGCTCCAATTAGAGGCAGCGCTAAGGCAGCCCCGGCGCTGTGGGTTTATTAACACTCATCCAGGAGGAGGCTCGGGCAGTGCTGTGCCAGCCCTGTGCCCTGTGCCACCGCGGTGCCACATCGCCGCCGGGGCGCGGCGCAGGAGCAGGAGGAGAGCAGCCACCTTCCCGCAAAATCTGGAGCTGTTTAAACAGCCCTGCTTGTTCCGGGATGTTTACAGGCCATTTTTGCCTAATAAAGTCATTTTTTTTAGCAGCTCACATCACCATAATTGCTTGTCACAATAACGCGAGACAGCTCCCATGTGCTGCGCTCGCAGGGCCAGCAGGAGAGGCGCGGAGACGTCCCGCAGCCCCGCAGCTCCTTGGGCACAGCCCCACAGCCACCTCCATCCCCAGCTGGGGACGTGCAGCCCCTGCACCCTGCAGCTCCAGCACACCTCGGCAGGGCCCCATGGGGTGCAGGGGCAGGAAGGAGGGTGATGGAGGGGAACAAATGGGCTCAGAGGATGGAGATTTGGTGTCGGGCATTCCCAGCCCCAGCGCTCAACAGGATTTCCCCGTGCACCTGTGCTTTCCCATTTCCCCATCACAGCCCCATAAATCAGCAGCCCCTGTGTCCCGGTGATGGGATGGGAGCAGCATTTTGGCATCTTGCTGCTGCCTCAGGACTGCAAGCCTCACACTCGGGTGTCTGTCCGTCCTGCAGCTCCTGGCGAGACAGACACCCAGCCCTGAGCCACCAGGCAGGGCCAGCTCAGGAGCTGGTTTCAGAGCTCACCCCCAGCACAAAACCAGAGGCACTGGGGACACCCACTGCCCCATTGCACCCCCTTGCAGCCCCTCCAGCCTCCTGTGCATCAGTAAAACCCCAGGCAGGGTCTCGGTGCTGCAGCTCCCTCCCTGTCCCCACCAGCACCCGTTACCCCGCGTGCCCCCGCCAGCTCGCCGTCATTTCCCCGCACCGAGTGACATCCAGCAGCTCTTCTTCCCTCTCCGCTCAGCCAAACAAACAAACAAACAATCCCGGGCCCTCGCAACCAGAGGAAAATTAGTAGCAGGTGAGAGCAGGCTGTAACGAGACCAAACTGTTCCTAACGCAGCCGGGGAACAATGCTTCTGTCCCCTCCCTTTTGCTGTTCTGGGGTTTGTATGGCAAAAAAAAAAAAAAGAGCATGGGGAACACTTTTAGGCTTTTCCTGAGCAAAGCACATCTAAAGGAGAGGGACCTGTGTCCCCCTTGCTCCCTGAACAGTGCCCTCAGCCACCTTGGTGGGATCCAACCCTCAGCCCCATGCAAAGCTGAAAACTTTGCAGCTCAAAAAAAAAAAACCCAAAAACTTCATTCCATCCTGACTCGAACGGTTTTGTTTTGTTCTCAGGTTGCTTAACTTGCTTTGTTAAGCCTTTAGAAAACAAGGAGGATCAACTGCAATGCCTCAGCCCCCAGCATCTGGGAACACAAAGTCCGAAGCCTGGGTTCCAGACAGGCTCCCGAAGCATCTGGCCGTGGCCACAGGCTGCCCGAGAAATGCTGCAACGCCTTGGAGCCGAAGCGAGCCGCGGCGCTCGCCTCCAGTCCTTGGGTAGCTTTTGTTCCCCGCGGCTCTCTTTGCTCCGCGTCTGTTTACAGGGAGAAAAGCCCCCCCTGCCCGCTCCCCAGCACGTAGTGGAGGTTACGGGGTATTTATAGCTCAGCTGAGCTTGCTGAATGCCTTCTTCTAGGAAAACAGTCAGGCACGCTGCCTGTCCTCACTCCGTTTAATCCCTCTTGCCTGGCTGCTGACACTGGGAAGCCGGCAGGGGCTCAGCACTACCTGGGGCTGGATGGGCACCAGGCTTGGTTTGGGGACACCAGGCTCGGTTTGTGGGCACCAGCAGCTGGGTGGGAGCAGCCAGGGAACCCCAGGTGGAGTTCCAGCTCCAGGAATCACACAGGTACACAGGAGGAGCATCCTGATGCGGGACAACCCCATATTTTTCCTCCAGCTTCTGCCTGGACGCTATCGGCACGGAGCCAGGAGTGCCACCCCCTGCCTGTCCCCAGGGCAGCTCCGAAGCCACCTCCATGCCCCCGTCTGGCAGTGCCCATCACAGCTGGCACGATTTGCTCACCCAGCTTTGCTCACTGCCCGTGGCACAGCTCGGGGCTGTCCCTGGGATGCTCTGATCCCCCCGCACCAGCGCCTTGGCTGAACGCTGCTCTGCTCCCTTGTACCATACAGGAGGGAGATGTCTGAGATCACTGCGGGTTTTATTCTCAGGTTTGGCAGCCTTTCCCTATTTGCTCGGATTGAGACACCAGTTGAGCTAGGTTTGCTCCTGCTGACTCAGTTAGCTGTTAGAGGAATAAGCGTGTGGCCGTGTATCCGAGGGGAAAGATTTCTTTTTCAGGTGTGGGCTGGCCGTGCCCTGCCCCGCGTGTTCCTGCTGGGGCTTTGCATGGCCAAAGGCTTCTCCAGCTCCATCCCTTCACCAGCCAGCCGCAGCCACAGCTGCCTGGGGGGTGTTTTGGTGCCGTCCTGCCTCCCCTTTCCCCGAGGAAATCGACCCTAGGATGAAATCATTTCCTAAATTCCCTCCCCACCCACACCCACCCCTTCCCTCGGTCCCTATCGGTCACCTCCCTGCGAGCAGCAGAGCAAAGCAGTTCTGGGGCTCTTCGGCTGCTCCTGCAGCCATCCCCCTTCAAGCCCCCTCCACTTTCACATCCTCCCCCCGTGCAGACCAGCTCCGGCTCCCCAGCATCCCTCTGCCGTGCCACCAGCAGGGATTTTTCACGGCAAACCCCTAAAATCCCATGCCCGGCTCTCGCAGCATCCCTGAAGCCACAGCACACTCTGCAGGCGCTCCCATCGCAGTGCTCACCCCAAACCTTCCCGGGGCCCGACCCTGCAAGAATCTCTTCCCCGAGCTCCATCCAACCCTTACACCCTGGGGACGGTGACACCGGGCTGCGGAGGGGTCCCTGCAGGGGACAGATGGCACTTTTGGGGACACGGGGGCTGCAAGGATGCCGGAGCCACCAGGGATGCTCCTCAAGAGCACCCCACAAATTTCCACGCAGCAAACCCACTGCTGGAGCCCCAAAAGTCAATGAGGCCCTTCAAGACACTCAAATAGCTCCCAGGTGTGAAAATTAAGCAGAAAAAAAAAATAAAAAATTATCACGTTTTCTCTCCAAAGGGTTTTGTTGGTAAAGGCACTGGGCAGCAGCGGGGACCCTGCAGCTGGACCCGTCCGCCACGCGTGGCTCGGGCACGTGCGCCTCTGGCAGGTATGTAAAAATAGAAATAATAACAACCTCTCCTCTCTTTCCTGCCTGGTTGGATAAATAGCTTAATTAGTTAATAAGGGGTTTAATTTGTTGTGTAGCTGCGTGAAGAATTCGCAGAGGGCGAGGGAAGTCGATAAGTCAAAGAAACGAGCCTTGGGGGGAGCCTGGGGAGGGGAGGGGAGGGCTGGCTGTGCCGTGGTGCTGCGCCCACCACCACCAGCTGCTGATGGCAGCTCTGGGATGGGGATTTTATCTGCTTGGTGAGGCTGCCCCGTGTGCTCTTCCCTTACCCTGGTGTAAAGGCAGGGTCTGGCCCCCATCACCCAGTCCCCTTGGCTGGGCTGGCCAGGGCATTGCACCTCTGCCCCATCCAAAACCCTCTGTCTGCTAACACCCAGCCACACCAACACCTAAAATCACACAAAACGTGTCCTTACTGGGTGTCAGGGGTGAGCGCTGTTAGATGGAGAGGAGCAGGATGGAGGAGCTGGGCTCCAGCACTGCCCTGGGGTGGGTGCTGCCTGGGGCTTCTCCCCAGCCGGCTGCAAACCAAGGAAAAGTCAGAGCAAAATCCGCTGTTGTCCCCCACCACATCCCCTTCGGGTGCCACTGGAGGTGATTCCCAGCTTGACGCCTCGCCAGAGGCAGGAGGGAGGCCCCAGCTCGAGACAAGAGGGCTCTTTCTTCATCAGCGTTAACCTCAGGCAGCTCTCGAGAAAAATCCTGGGCAATTAGCGGAGCGTAAGGAGATTTATAATTGAAATGGAGTTTGTAGCACTACAGGCGGCTCCCTCGAAAGACATCTCTCATCACAAGGAAAAAATGAAGGCGAGAGAAGAATAGAGAGAGGCAGAGGGGGAGAGAGAACTAGTTAAAGAGTTTAAAAACCCCGACCAAAACTCCATTTAGTTTTAACGTTGCACGATAGCTTTCATAATTCAGAACAAAGTGCAAAGCTCTTTAATGAGGCCATTAATGACCCTTTAATTTACTCCACCAGGGCTGAATTCATAAAACATTTATGTTCCATTTACACAGGATTTTCCTGCGACTCTCCGGGGCAAGTCCCCATCACGGAGCAGGTGGGATGAAACAGAAGGCTCTTCTCTTCTCTTCCTCCCCTCTCCTCCCTTCCTCACCCGTTGCTGGAGCTCTGCGTGTGCCTTTTAATTCTGCTAGCGAAGCTGCGGGGACCCTGGAGGGAGAAGAGCCGTTCCTGACCCTTCTGCATAGTAAACAGATGCAGAGCACTCTGGTGCTTCTGCTCTAGGAAACGTGAAACCCTTTTAAGATCTAGCTGGAGCATCAAAAGCCTGCCTTAATATTTTTTTTTTTTTTTTTTTTTTACATCGTTACAGCCCAGCTCCGGTTCAACCCTTGAAACACTGCCTGCTGGGAGAGCTCTCTGTTGCGGTACCAGGTTTGCTTTTTGGGTCATCTCAAAGCACCCAGGGACGCGTGTCCTGCCTGATTTCCAGGCTGCCCCCCTCGGGTCAGGGCGGTGATGGGGGAATATCTGAGCTTTTCTCATCCCAGAGGCTGGGGGAAGCTCGGAGGGCACACGGGGAGCAGGGGTGGTGCTGCCCCACTTGCACGATGCCCCAGTCTGGCTGTCTCTTGACCCAAACAGCAATTTTTCTCACCAGTTTTTCTTCTTTTAAGGGTTTCAAGCAGGGAGAGACACCTGGGAAGGTGCAACTGCTTGCATCAGCTGAAACACCTTTAAAAATTTAAAAAAAAAATAAAACGTCTCCCTAGTTTATTGCAGAGATCTCACTCTCTTTTCTCCAGAAAACATCAGTTTCGAGCACCTTCTGCTGAGAAGTGCCATTAATCACGGCAGCTGGGCTCTCAGCACCTGGAGCTTGCTCTCACCAGCCCGTCTAGCTCTCTGCTCTGCTTCTCTCCTTCACCTAAGGAGGGTTTTTGCATCAGCAGGCCAACACCCATGGCAAACCCGATTTCCCCAGGTACTGTTCCCAGGGGGAATCCTGCCCACGAGTGAAGGCAGGGCCTGTAGGGCCACGTCGGTGCTCATGGAGTTGTTTTTGTAGGGTCTCCAGCATGCGCTGGGATCCGAGCACCAGGCTGGTGGGAGAAGCTAGGTTTTCTGGCCCAAATCAGCCCCCAGGTGAAAATGAGGTGGCACGGAGGGGACCCCATGGAAGGAGCTGGCTGTGCCCAGGGCTGGGAATGTGTCTCGTCCATTTGTCCTGGTTCAGACACCGCCTGTACCAGGAGCTTTTCCTGCCCTAGCTGGGACCAGAAGCACACGGTTTGGGGCACAGCTGAAGGCCACCTGCAGATATATCCAGGAGCCATCCGAGCAGCCCCAGCTCTCTCTCCAGCACTACAGCTCGCTGCAGGGCCACCTGAGGATCCTCCAGCATCCCTTTCCCTTCTGCTGCTTTCAACTCCCCAGGAGAGGGCAGCTGGAACGCTTCAAGCCTCAATTTAAGCACTTCAGGAGGCGATGAAAACCCTCCAGGAGGGGGGCAGAGCTCCTGGGGTGTCTGTCCCACTGGGGGTCGGTGCTGCCTGAAATTAGGGTGGTTTCACAGCTGAACCCCGAGCTGCAAACAGGGCAGGAGGCCACCAGGAGAGCCCCTCAGGGCTGCTGGGTCTCCTAATCAGCAGCAACACGCTGATATCGCTGCTGCAGTGGTGTCAATCTCCATCGGGGTAGTGGCACAACGGATTTAAAAGGGAGCTGTACACGCAGAAAGGGGCACTCATGCTTGCTAATCCCCCATAAGCCTGTAATTCCCATTCTTTTTTCCCCAGATCATAAGTGCAGATCTGTTAAGGCCCCGTCACTCGCTGCACGCTAAATTCCTTTTTTTCCTGTCTGGAACCTGCTGGGTGCCCTACAGATGATAGGGGACAGGGAGCCGTGCCAACCCCTGTCCCATACAGTGACAGATGTAGTGGTGCCCGCTGAACGTCACCAGCAGGGACACCTGGAACAAGGCACTGCTCCCTCTCTGGAGAGCCTGAGGATGTCTTCTAGAGGGATTTCTGCACCAAACCAAACCGCCATTACTCACAGGAGTGTGGATAAGCAAGGGGGTGCCATCAGGGCTTGGGGGGCTCCCCCAGCCAGCCTGGCAGAGTCTTTCCACGCTCCTCTCGTTAGCTTCCAGGGAGTCTTGGTGCCAAACATCTTCTCATCACCACTCCCCAGCCACTACACACACACACACACGCTGGAAATAATCCTCCTAGGAATGACAAAGTAATAGTCACTAATTACATAATTAATTTATTCTTTGGCACTAATAAAAAAAAAAAAAAAAAAAGATTTTGTTACAAAGGAGGATAAAAAAAAAAAAGAAACAATCTAAGGCTTTGTTTAATTAAAACCACAATACACCGAAAAAACAAGGAATCCTAATGACACAGACAATGCTTTGATTGTGTAATTAGTTACCTACAGAAAAGATGCTTTCTTTTCTTCAAAACCCTGTTTTTTTTTCTTATTACTGTTTGCTTTTCCCTTTTTATTGAAGGCGGCTGTCCTCAGGGCACACAAACCCCAGCAGCAAACCGCTGCTGCCAGCCCTCACCTGCGGGCACAGGGCTCACAACCTCCCCTCTCACACCCCATGCCCACCTTGGGGTGGCTGCAGCACAATCCCCGTGTCCTCCACGGCCACTCTCTGAGCCGACAGCACCACGAAATCGCGACCCCAGCCCCGAGGAGCTGGAGCTGGCAGGCAGAGCAGCCCCAGCCTGCTGGAGGGAGCCAAGGAGCAAAGCGTCAGCCCGGCGCTGTGTATATGTTATGCTTCCGTGTCCCGCTGTTAACTGATGTTATATATATGTGTGCTTTAAGTATTCATATATTCATAGCTATAAAGGCCCTTTCTCGACTCGAGCTAAATTGCATAACCGTGACCTACTGTCCCAGAAGGCTTTTTATTCGTGTTAAATGGGTACTGAGATTAGCAAGCTCCTTGGTAGTAGGTGCAGAAGCGTTCCAGAGGAGAGGGGAGAAGATGGATGGGTCCTGCTGAGGCTCAGCGAAGAGGGCAAAGCAGCTCATGACAAAAACACGAGAGCTGAGCTGCTCTGCAGCCTGGCTGCCTTCGCCTCCGAAAACTGCAGCAGGGGCTGGCTGCCCCCTGGATGTCAGGGGTGTCACCAACCTCGTCCCCTCTCCCCAGGGACCCACGGCACAGAGGAACACCAGCATCCTCGGAGGTGGCTGCTGGGATTTGTCACCTCCATGCCATCAGAAAGGGATCAGGACAAGGGCTGGCCCCGGCGCCAGGATGCTCAGAGGTGGCCAGGGCCGCTGGTGTCCCCTCGCTGTGACACAGCCAGGGTGGAAGCAGCAGCAAGCTGGCTGCCACGGCGCTGCCAGATGGTGGATGAGATTAAAAGAATTTGATTTTCAAATAATCCATAAACCTGGCTGAGCTAATGTCGTTTCATATGCATTATCTTGTAATCCCGGGGAAGAGAACATTTCAGAGCAAAGAGCCTTATTCTCCCTCCCTGCGAGGCCTCTAACAAGCTATAGCTAATCCCCTTTTTGTTGGAAGGTGCTTACAGGGACCTACAACACCCAGCACGGGGGCTGTGGCACCGTGCCTGGAGGGGACACGCAGGTGCCCAGCACCACGGGGGCTTTGTAGGGCTGGGGATAAAGCCCCGAAAGCTCAGCCAGGTGAAGCCTTGTCCAACGCCCTCTCTAAAGTGACCCCTGCACAACCGAGCCCTGGGAAGTGGCCAGAGGAGCTGCTGACTTCTGCCTGCCTGCACCCAACACCCACCACCACTTTTTGTCCCTCTCTCTACCCCATACAGGTCCATCCCCCTCATGCCCCCAACCCACCTGCAACCCCAAGCATCCTCCATCACCAAACCCAGCCTGCCTGCTCCCTGCCTCTTTTCCCTGCTCTCAAGGCTCCTTTGAGCCCCTGGTTACTTGTCAAGCCTCCGTGGAGCACACACAACCCCCTGCTGGTCCTGGGGACCCTTCGAGGCACAAGCCACCAAGCCTGGGCACAGTGGTTAGGAACTGGCGGTCCCCACAGCAGCCTTCAGGCTCCCACTCTGGAGAACAGGAGCTGGAATAGAAGATTTTAAGGGGGAAGGGAAGGGAAGGAAAGCTCCACGGATGGGATTTCCCAGTCGCTGCCTGCCATCTAGTGCCCAGCACCGAGCCATTTCACAGGCAGCAACACCCGAACTGCATCCTCAGTGGAATTTAGTTCTTAAATTGGTGGCAGGGACATCTGGGTTTGGGGCCCCACACAGGGAGTCCCCACCATGCTCCTCACTTTATGTCAGGGTGAGGGCTTGGGAATCCACCCAGATCCTGATGGAAACCCTCAGGGAAAAGAGGGGCAAACAGCCTGGAGCACGGGGAGGTGACACCACGTACAAAGGACAAACCACGGCTCGGGAGACAATTGCTGCTGGGCAGGGGCACACGGGGGTGTCCAACACTGAGGGGCTGCACAGCTCACCTGGAAGAGCCAGGCAGGGCAGAACAGGGCCTCACGGGCACACAGAAGGAGGTTCACTGGTGAGCACGGGGCTCTGAGCACCTCCAACGCTTCCCAAAGCGCCAGGGGACATTAGCGAGAGGATTACTCGGAATTCAAAAGCAAATGGGATTTGTGACCCGTTACATTAACCGGGGACTGGGGAAAGCTCTGCAGAGGGAGCACGCTGCCGGCAGGTCACCAAACCCATTATTAAGAGCTCACAGATCACGAAGCCAGATACACACACACACACACACAGATAAATTTCTCTTTGCCTGCAGAGCAGGACGCCGGCCGAGCCTCCCTCCCAGCCCGGTGTGCTTTTTCTGTGCGCCCATTAAACCTGGATTACACCTGGTTCCTTTCCCCAATAATTCACTTTCCCCCACAGGCTGAATGCAGAGGAAAAACATCTGGGAGGGGAAAACCTGCAAGGAGAAGGGTGATGTGCATAACTGCTGTGATAGATGAGGGTGAGCAAGAAGGGGACGGGCAGCACGGGCAGGCAGCAGCCCAGCCAGCAGGAATCAGCCTTCAGTTGCAAACTGTTACCTGGGACAATTTTCCTTAATTTTTGCCTCCGTTAATTACAAGATGGGGTGTTTGCTGTAGCTGTGCAAGTGGCCAGCTCCTGCTAGCACCCTTCTTGTTTCTGGAGCAGGCTCTGCTGAGCCCCAAAGCCTTGCACGCCCCGTGTAAAGGCGTTATTGCCTCACCTGGCTTTTGAAGAAGCCTCGTTTTAATGTTGCTGAACACCCCGTCATATTTCAACTGAGAAATGCCCTTGGGTCTCCAAGCCCTGCCTATGAAGTCCTGCCAAAGGATTTTATAACCCCCCACAATCTGTTGGGGAAAAGCAGCCTTGACAGCAAAGCTGTGTCTAGAACAACCTGAAGGAGCTTCCTGCTGTCAGCGTTTTGTGCTGACCTCACCAATTCCCAGCTCTGCTTTCGGAGGGCTTGGTGCTGAGGATTGGGTATTAACAGCAAAGCTTCTGGGGCTGTTTTCCCCGAGCCCCAGTTTCCCAGCAGCTCTCCTCCTTTTACGCCCGTCCTTACCTCTGCCTGTCCCTGCTCAGTGTCCTTCCAGACACGGGAGGGAAAAGGTGTCCTCAAAACAGAAGGGTGAGAGCTGATCCGATCCTGTCACTGGTGACCTGCCTCGACCTGATTTCCCACAGCATTTTCTGCAGGGCACCTGGGCTGCCCTGAGCAGAACGCTCTGCGCTGCTTCTGTAAGCACACGGCGCTCACAGAAACCCCAGGGACTGCCAAAAAACTCCCCCCACAGAGACAGATCCCTTTCAGATCCCTTTCAACTCAAAAACAGAGCTTGGACAGAACAAAAGCAGGTGACCCATGCTGCTGGGGAGCCAGCCACAAGACCCCTCATCCTCAGGGACAGGACAGGGGTGAGCCCATGGGTACAGCCCAGTTCCCACCCACCCACCCTCATCCCAGCTGGACGGGGCTCTGCACTGGGACAGCTTCCCTGAAGCAGTGCAGACCACGGCCATCAGCCCCTCCTGGTTCCACATGCATTTATCTTCCAAATATTGAAGTTTTTGGTCGCCTGGAGCCAGCCAGGAGGAGGAACAAATGCTACCAGCTGCCTGTTACATGGGCAGCATGGGGTTGTGAGCACTACAGCACTACACAGGCACACAGGGCTCTGCACAGAGACCACCAAACCCCAGACAGGGCAGGGTATCAGCTAAAGAAGGCATTTTGTAGGGGAAACAGCAGAAACCTGTACCTGCGAAGCTGAGAAGTGGTTTTATTAGGACTTGTTATCTCTCCATGGCTGGAGGGGAGCGCTAGCATCCCATTTGTCACATGGAAAGCTTTAATCTCTCTCTTCTAACATGGTGGCTGAAGCAATAACTCAGATGCAGGGGTTTTAGGCTGCAATTGATCCTTATGTTTGTTTTAGCAATGGCTGCTGGGCGGCACTGCGTGAGGGAAAAGGCATCTAAATGGCACGCATCCTTGCTCGTTGAGGGGGGAACGAGCTGGCTTTCGTGCACCACCTTCACGAAGGGAAGTGTTCTGTGCTGAGCACGGCTTGGAGCAGCAGAAAGTCTCTGCAGGCTGGCTGTCAGCACCCTCCAGCTCCTTCCCCAGGCGGTGCAGCCTGCAGGATGTTCTGCTCTGCCATGGGGAAGAGGAGCAGGTCACACAGAACAAGAAGCGAGCAAAGGTACCCAAATGAGAGGATCTGGGATTGTTCACAGCACCTTGCTGAGGGTCCTTAAATAGAACAAATACTAGAAGGAAAAAAAAAAAAAGCACAGTTCCCATGCAGGCTGGGAGCAGAGATTCCTGGTTTAGGTGCTGAGAAAGCAATAATGTCAGTTTCCAGAGAAGGCCCAGTTTGTTATGCACCTGAAGCCTGTACGAACAAAGGCCTGAGCCTGAGGAAAAAGATCAAACATAAAAGAGGCTGAAGATTCTGGCCTCTCCGTTGCTGGAGGGTGCTGCACCTCTCAGCACACACAGTGCCCACAGATCTGTTGCTCCAGCAAGCCAGAGAACTGAGTTTCAACATCACCAAGCTTTCCATACAGTTTTATCTCTCTTTTGTGCTCCTTGTTTTGAGAGCAAAAAAGGACTGATTAAACACCAGCTCATATGCTCAAAATATAAGCTCAAATAAGCTCAAAGCCTCACTCAAGCAGCACAAAACCTGCTTTTAGCAGGGGAAATGGTGCAGAGACCTCGGCAAGGGGCATGCCCTGAGCCCCTGCCCACAAAGCTCTGCCCAGAAGCTGGGTGCTACTGCACCAGCAACAGCCTAAAATCAGGGGGCAGAGAAAAAGCCCAGTCCTTGGCCATCTGCACCAAAGCCCCAGGCTATGAGGGGCACAGCCTGAGGGGAAAGACTCACCTCTCCCCTCCACAGGCGTTTTCAGTCTCGGAGAAGACGAGTCTCCCTTTCCACAGGGCTGAGCACAGACAGCAGCCTGCAGCTTGCAGGCACACATTTTGCTTCACATTTACTTCCTCTTTGCAAATGCTCTCTGCTGCAGGCAGTCTCCTTTGCCAGGTCTGCAAGGGTGAACCCAAGTTTTGTTTTGTTTATAGTTTATGGCAAGCCTGCAGCTTCCATCTGCCCAGCATTAGAAAATGGAAGGCTGCTGTGCTACCCCTCCCCATGCCCCAATGACTTGTGGAGTGATTAAGGACAGCTTTAATTTGAGGCCTGCAGCTCCCAAAGGACTGATATAATATATATAGCAATCTCAGTTCCACCTCTGGAGGCCGAACCCTCTCCAGATGATTAACGACACCTATTTCCTCCTCCTCTCTCTCCCTGCCACTGAAGGCTGATTCCGTGCAAAGTCCAACCAGCTCCAAGCCCACGATCTGACTACCAAACAGCAACATTTACAACCAGAAAAAGCACCCCAAGAAATAAAAACAGACCCAGAGAGGCAAGCCAGCACCATATAATCACAGGATAGCTCTTCTTGTAAAGAAATTGCAGCACGTTGGGCTACCTGAGGTAGACCTGGCTGGGCTGGGTTAGCAGCAGGGCTGGCCTTGCACACTGGGACAGAACTCAAAGCCACCTTGAAGGCTGCTCTCAGGAAGCAGGAACATTAGAGCAGCACTCCCCTTGCAAGCGAAAATTAGCGTTTCAGCCCCAAAGAGCTGCTGCTTGAGTGTTACTCACCTTCACTGTTACTGCAGCTTCGGGCCCCAAAGGACTGATTCAGTGTATGTGGGAAAGCAGCACTCATCTGAGGAGCTACCGCCATTTCCCACTGCATCTGCCCCCTCCAGGGCCACTATGTTATGGACTCCAAGGCCAGAGGCAGCTTCAATGCTGATTAAACATGACTAAGATGTGAACAATCCAGCTTCCAGCTCCCCAGAAACTGCCCAGCCTTGTGAGCCCTCACCTGCTGCCCGTGATCCACGATGAGCTCCCCTCTCTGCAGTACCAGGCTTGTTCCTGGCTGGAGGAACTTCCACCCACAGGGGACAGGTTAAACACTGCTGCCCTCCTGCCCAGCTGTGCCAATGAGCTGATTACCTCTGGAGAAGCTAAAGGGGTTCCAGGGGATCACAGAGGGAGCTTGGCCACCATGTCCAGACAGATGAAGGCATTGCTGGAAACGCTGGTGGAGCTGCTCCAGGCCTGCAAAAGCTAATCCTTGGGTAAGCAACTGATTGCTGCTCTGCTGCATGCTGCAGTGTGCATATCCTCCCCTGGGCATCGTAACAATCCTCCAGAAAACTACAGCCTCAGGGGGCTGGGATGGCGCCAAAGAAAATCACTCCCTTGCCAGGTCTCCCATTATATCTAGCTGGCTACTCCCCCCTTACACTTCAGAGCAGCTATTCCCACCTGGACACAAAGATCACTCCCCACAGCTGCTCTTACTGAAGAGCAGGCGTCAGAGACAAGCATTAGCCATTGTTTAGAAGAAGCCATTTGAGCTCTAGACTGTGACAGGGGTCTGGTGAGGAGAGCGAGCCTCCTGGGTACCAAAGCCCCTGGGAGTTGCACACCTGGGAGAGGAACAGATCACAACATGCACTTCCAGAAGAACTCCCTGAGGAGCGCTTCACTTCAGAGTATAAGTTTTAATATTTATTTAGAACAGGCCTGGTGAAGAGAAGTGGGAAGTAACGCAAAGGCAATTTATCCTCCAGAGCCCTATTTAACATCCTATATACACAGGCCACGCAAAGCAACAGCTCTTCTCCTCCTCAGAGTCACATCCCATGTCTTCCCCATGTTCTGGAGCACAGCTTATCATTTATAAGTCCAGAAGGAATCGATTGACTTTTTTCAGGTATTCCGGCTTCAGGTAAGCTCCCAACTCATCCTTTGTGACCCACAGATAATCTTTCTTCAGCTCTGCCTGTGACAAATCACTGCTCTGGAGGAAGGCTTTGTAGAAGAACACTTTGGCTCCCACGTTATCCTCAGTCCTGATGGCCCTGGGGAATTTATACTTGTAAATCCCATGTGGTGCATTCCCCAGGATTTTGGCTTGAATGTGATCTCCTGGAGAAAGAAAACAAGATATAAGAACACAGAGCAACAGTAATTACATACTCCTGTAATAACAGACAGACAGCATAGGATGGTCCTTATATCTGGTTCAGACTGACTGTTCCCTCTTCTTGGCAGAAATACTGCCCATTTAAAGTCTTTTCTCATGAAAAAGTGACTTGTCCCAAGTTCATCAAGCCCTCTGAGAGGTAGAGAGAACATCAAGCTCTGCCAACTCATGCAAAAAAGGAAGGACACACGTGTTTGCTATCATCCATCTGCCACAGAAGCTGCTACAGGATGACAAAAGGGAAGGGGGAAGCTGCACACCTGGAGCAAGCTTAGACCATCCAGGGGGCATCTGGTGCTGCTCAAACATCAGACTGCAAGGGCCAGGCCTGGCACCACAGCAGCTGGCAGCCAGAGAGCCCAGCTCCCAGCCTGCTGGCTGGCAGCCCCTCACACTGCAGCACAGCTGAGTGCAGTTAAGGCACAGATCACCCAGGATCTTGCCAGAAACCCCATTACTCGAGCACAGTCCCACTGCTATGAAATACCTCTTCCCAGCAGATGGGAGGCAATTTCACCACAGATGGCAAATATCCCTCAGGTAGAACAAGGGGAAAAAAAAAAAAAAAAAAAAGACTGGGACAAAGAGGAACAAGAAGCAGGCACACAGCAAGCTACATACCCAAAAACATAGCCATAGCTCGCTCAGCTGTGTTTCGCATAGTCTCTCCAGGTTGCCATTCCACTTGAGGCAGGAGCCACAGCTCCTGGTTACCAATCTTCTGCTTCACCAGCAGCATCAGGTTACTGTCCAGCTTCCTGTTCAGAGACTTCCGATCATCTTTTTTATCAGCATCTGCCCAAAAAAAAAAAACAACAACGTATGTCAGAAACAAAGTCTCCCAGCCACACTGGTCTGATCAGCAGGATTCTCTCTGCAACTTACACCCTTCTAGAAACCACACAGAGGGCAGGTACATGGAACAAGGCAAAAATCTACACAGAAATATTCTCAGTCACTCTGGGAGCCGATGCAGGATTCAGAAGTGCTAAAATGCAAAAGTGTAGTGCTAAGATGTACTCTACCTGAGTACAGGTACTCTAAGGCACTGCTAAAACATACTCTTACCTGTTCCATTTTCAAGGGAATTTGTAGCGAGCAGCTTAATTTCTGTCAAGCTGGAGACCCAGTAAGAATGACAGACAAGCACAGGAACCAAATTTTTCAAGGTTTTTCTTGGAAGTTTCCTGGGAACAACACAAGCGTTCCCCACTCTGCTCTCACTAGGCTGTGTGAACGTGCCTACCTTCACAGCACTGCAGCCCTGATTCCTTTATAACCCAGTTAATTCCTCACACACTAGCCATGCTGCCAAAGCATCAAGTTTTTTGAGAAACAAGAAGCTTGGCAAGTACCTTCTCTGTTAGACACACCTGAGCGTGGTTTTATGTAGGGTGCTCCCCCCTGCCAAGACACGACTTTAGCCGGTACCTGTCACCCTCGGGGCTGGGCTGAACTGCAGCAACTTCTGCTCCCACTTGTCCTCCAGGTCCTGGGCCATGATGACGGTTTTTCCAGGCTCCTCATCGTCGTCGTACGAGCTCTCCTTCCTCCTCCGCAGCCGCTCCTCTTCCTCCAGCTTGCGGACCTCGTGGTCGGAGTAGCGGCTCCTCTCCAGCTCTATCTGGAGGAACAGCACGAGGTGTGTCCGCTCGGAGCTCCCACCAGCACCAGGGGACCGGGTTTTGGGGCAAAACGCCTCACACCGAGCAGCAGCGGGGGGCTCCCCTCCTTCTCCCCCCCCAGCTTTACCTGCTCCATGAGCGCCGCCATCTCCTCCTCCTCCCTCCGAAGCGGCTGCGTGATGCGGGGCAACCTCAGCAAGCACAGCGCCCCGAACAGCCTCCACGGCCGGGGCGTTACAGCTCCAGAAGCAGAACTCACCCAGCGCCCCCATCCCGCTAAAGCCCCGCCGGCCGCCGCCATCATCCCCCACCCCTTCCCCACAGTGCCCCGCGCCCGCCCGCCGCCATCTTTCCTCCCGCCCTGCCTCGCGCCAAGGCGGCGGCCGCCATCTTAGGGCAGCCGCGCGGGCCGCCATGAGCGCGGCGCTCGCCGTCGCCTGGCAACGGCTGCTCGGGGCGGCCCGCGGGTGAGGGGCGGCCGGGATGGGTTGTTTTGTTTTGGTTTATTTCCCTTTTTCACGTTTTGCTTTATTTTTTTCTCCCTCAGTGCCCGCCGTTTGCATGGCGGCGTGTGGAGGCAGCGGGAGGTGGCCGCGAAGGAGCCCGCGCAGGAGGCGGAGGGGCAGAGCGTCGGAGACCTGAGGTGAGTCCTGGGGCAGGGGCAGCCCCCGGCCCGGCTTTCTGCCCAAATTGCCTGAGAATACAGCGTAAAACCTGGCTGGATGCAAAGAGCGAGTGTCTGACAATCTGATTTTATCTCCCCAGCTCTCTGCTCCTGCAGAGGAGCTCCATGAGGTGGGATGGGAAGACCTACGAGGAGATCCCGATAGCGCACGTCAAGGCCACGTACAACAAGTGAGCAAAGCGGCTTCCCCTGTACCTGTGAAATGAAAGCTTATAACGTGCCTGGGCCGGTCAATTTAAATGAAAAATGTCAGGGAAGTTCATGGCTGGGGGGACAATACTACTGACTGCAAACCTATAACTGTTCTCATAATGTCTTTAACATTAATAAGATTATTATTACTTCTTGGCTGTGTTCTGATAGGAATAATTAGATGCTGATGGTTTAATGGCAGGGTACTACCTGCCCTCAGTTCTAGCACTGTGCAGCTGTTGAAAAAGTCATTGTATTATCCATGAGAGATGATTGTGTTTCATTAGTGAACCCTAGTGTGACATTGTGCCGCCTCTTAAACGTCTATTGAGTTCGAGAAGTGTTTTGTGCTTTTTTTTTTAATAAGTAGAAAAAGTAAAATGCTCACGGTAAGAGGTGGGTCTGACAGGGTTAGCTGTACCCAAGGGATAGCTAGCGGAGCAGGTCACCCAGAAAGGTTTTACCATCTCCAGTTCTCCAGGCATGACCTTGAACTTCACTGCTGGCAGGTCTCTGCAGCTGGTGACCATAACTGAGATACTTGGAAAGAGAAGGTTGAATTCAGATGGCTTTGAGAGGGGAGATGAGCTCTGTGGTGAGCCACACGTTTTGAGAAACTTTGCAGAATGAGGAGAAACTGGAGAATTAAATCATCTGCTAGCTTATTCCTTTCTTTTGCCCCTCTCTTTCCGTAGCACCCACATCCAAGTGGTCGGCTTTGACAACAGGCCGTTTGCCCGTACGTCCTGCGGCACTGAAGGCTTCCAGAATGCCAAGAAGGGAACTGCCATCGCGGCACAGACAGCCGGCATAGCAGCAGCAACAGTGAGTCTGCGCTGAGTATTGTCACCCTCCCAGAGGGGGTCCCTGACTGCATCCTGCTGCTACCTGGGTACAGGGGAGTGGAGGACAAGTACAGTAACTTCAGCTATTTTCGGGGGAAAGTAGGGCTTCTTGTTCACATTGCTTGTCCCTTACTCGTGAGCAGCACTCCAGACCTCTGCTCCTTAGCACTCGAGCAGCACGCTGTTTGCTGACAGTTTCCCTAGCTTCATCTGACAAAGTGAGCATCTTCACACTGACAAAATGTGTTTGAAACAGTGGTGAGAAATGCCCAGAGGGTGATCTTAGCTGTGCACGCTGTGACTGAGAAACGTAGCTTGTAGCCTCTCCTTTCCTTGCTCCAGTTTCCTAGCTCTTTTATTCGAAGTGAACGTACCTCAGCCATTTTGGAAATAAAAGCCCCTGAAACAGCAGCAGTTTAATTTGCACTGCAGGGGATTGAGAAGTGGCTGTAATTACTGGCTGAATGTATTATATTTGCTCTCTGCCACAGGAGAGCTGAGCTGCTACCAGCAGTTCTAGTCAGAAAAAGCAATGTCCCTAGGCACGTAGTTGCCAGATGTATACAGTTTGCTGTAGTAATTCCATAAAAAAACACGTGGGCGTCCAGTTAGCAGGAAAAGATGAAGCTGGCAATGTTATGGCCCCTGTTACAGCAACACGAGGCAAGGTTAAACTGAAAATCCTCATCCTCAATTAGATGGAACCTTTAATGTCAGAGGTGTTCTGTGCTGCTGCTGGTCAACAGCTTGTTATGGTTGATTCAGAGGAATATAAGAACACTTTCACTATTAATCTTTGTTCACCAGAGCCTCGTAATAGCTCAATAGCTGTGGTTGGCCAGATGTATTCCCATCCCTGTTAAAGTTTGTAGGAGATTAATTGCACTTCAATGTGGAAACCGAGAGATTCAGGAGAGCTCCACTTGGTGGCAGCACTGCTCTGCTTTACAGCAGGTGTTTTTCATTTTCAATTTGCAAGTCCCTAAAATTTTTGCACTGAAAGCGTGGACTCCTGCACAGCAGGTATAAAGCCTGCCCACTTTTCTCATTTACCCTCTAGAAGGAATCCACTGATCGCAGGATAGAAGTCACTGCATTAGAGAAGGAGAAAACAGCTTTGAGTTACTCTTTGTTAGCCAGGTATCCATGGTTATGTCATTTTCTGTCCTGACTTCGGGTCACAGATCGTTTGATCTTGACACTTTCTCTGTATACGGAGTTGACAGCTTAACACAAGTTTTCTTGAAACTGCCACAGTTGTATCCAGGCTTCCTTTTCTTCTACTGTCTGGCTTTGTGCAATAACCACCATCATTCTCTTCTGTATCCATTACTATCTACTTTTTATTTTTAGTTACAGAATACTGTGATAGTGGGTCAAAAGCAAATGAAAGGCTCCAGGGGAGCCAGAGCAGCAGTAGATACATCAAAGAGAATACTAACCAATTCTTCTCCCCTCAGAAAGCACGTGGGAAGGGTGTATTGCACGTACGAGTCATGGTGAAAGGACTGGGACCAGGACGCAAAGTAGGTGTCAGTTTCTTTTCATATAGTTTTTCTTTCCCAGACATCATCCTTTTATTTTTATTTTTTTTTAATTCGGGCTAGTCTTATGAGAATACCTATTAAGTTGTGGGATTTATTTTCAGAAGGTGATATAAAGGACTCATCACTCATATGCCTAGTAAAGAAAACTGAGAATAATAAGAATTTTAGAATAATTTCCTTCTGGAGACAGAACAAAAGCTGTATTGGTATCTTCTTCCAACTAAAGTAGCAAAATTGATGGGAAATCTGATGAAAGAATGGAAGCAGATAGTTTTAAACTGTATATTCTGATACTAATTACTTATCCATAGGATAATTACAAAGTAGAACTATTGGAAGAAGCTGATTTTTTGGGCAGGGGCCCAAGCTATTTTTCCTTTAGCTTTTTTATCCCCTTTTGCTCTGCAGCGTGTTGCTAACAGCGTGTCGTCTGCTGTCTCACCCCGCAGGCTGCCATCAAGGGTTTGACCATGGGAGGCCTGGAGATCATCTCCATCACCGACAACACCCCGGTTCCACACAACGGCTGCCGCCCACGGAAAGCCCGGCGAATGTGAGAGGGAGTGGAAGAGCCACGCTGCATTCAATGCTAGCTCACACAACAGGGACTGGGTTGAATATTGCCCGGAAAGGCCCCCTCCTGGGAATTGTTTGCTGAGGGGAGCTCAAAGAAGACAGTCCCGGGCCGTGGAAGGTCAGGCGGTATGAGCTGGTGGTAAAAGCAGGAGTGCATCTACCCCCTCGTGGGAAGCCTCTTGTGTACAAAGTTTGTTGATTAAAATGTTGATCTTCCGACAGTCGTTCCCGCTGTGTTCCCAGAAGTATTTTGGATTATTATTGCCTCTCAGCTGCTCTCTTCCTCTCTCCACAGTGTGTGGCTCTCGTCTAGCCCTCAGTGCCACTACTGCTCTGCTTAGGTGGAAGGGGAGCACGAGCTACGTACAGAATCAGCCCTCCTCGCAGTCAGCTGTAGTAAACAACTGTGTGGGGTCACTCCATCTTCCTTCCCTCTTTCTCTCACCGCACACATTTGGCAACAGATGCAGTAACTCTTTCCTTTCCGCCTGGCTTGCAGAGCTCCCTGTGGCATGCGGGAGGCGCTGCTCCCCATCCACACCGCGTGGAGCACCGCAGCCTGAATCCCTTACTGGCCAAGGTGTGCTGCTGTGTTTCAGCTAAGCTGCAGCTGGCAAAGGGAAAACGCCAGCTCTTCCAAGGGGCTGTGGTTGTGCCAGTTTTGCTGCTCACAGCCCCTTTGGTTCTGCCCCACAAACTGGATTTGCTGGAGCTCCTGGGGAAAGCAAGCAGGGGGTGAGCAGGCTTGAGAAACGATGAAATGCTGCCAAGGAGATTTAAAACACTTACGGCTTGAACCGTGCCTCTATATCCACAGGCAGCATGGGCTTGTCACAGGGCTGTGATGTGTTATTGCTGTCCCAGCTCCATCCAGAGAGAATTTCTGCCAAGCAAATATGTTTGAGGCTCTCCGGAGGATTAAGCAGGGAAGGTAACAGCGCTGACTGACAACAGCTTTGATTTCCTGGGTGGCAGAAACCCCCTGCCCAGCACAGGGCAGCGACGGGAAACCCCTCCCTGCCAGAGAATCCTGGGCTATACACAGCACACACTGGGCACGCATTTCACTTGTAAACACGGGGTGTTTTGGTGCAGCCAGCAGTTTCATCACAAACCCAGAATCTTCCTTTCGATTATTTTTCTTTCTGTCGCTCCTCCTTAGTTTCTTAAATTGCATAATTAACTATTCTCTTCCTCTTTAGAGAAAGGGTACCATGGCAACGAGGCAGTGAACCTCCTTCATGGGGCTGAGTGACATGCAGCAGGTTTTGAAAGAAATCAGTCTGCTTAGGAGAGCCTGGTGAGTTGCATTTGACAGAAGAGAATAAAATAAGACTCGGATGAATCCGACTGCCTGAATTTGAACAGAGAGGTTATCTCGCAGGGAAGTTCCCTGAGCTGTCACAGGTTTGACAGCAAGGCAGAGAGGTTCTTCTATACCTGTGTGACAGACTAGACGAGCTTCCCCCTTGCTCCAAAACATGGCTGGGCTTCTGGTGACTTCATGCTACTCTTTTTAAGGAGAATAGGCCACGTCTGCGACAAACCACATTTAATCTGAGTGTTTCGGGCAGCCAGGTGAGGGAGGCAGCCACGAACACGGATGTGCCTTAGAGCAAGGCCGTCCTGCTTCCTGCTGAGCCCTGGCAAAGAAGCACCAGCTGCTGGCAGGCTTGGCAGCGCAGCGTGGCACAGGGCACACGCAGAAATCCAAACACAAGCGTGCTCTGCCACCAGCTGCTTGTGGCAGCGACGCAGCGGAAGCGCCCGTGTTGGATCAATACGAGGGAAGGGGTTGAAAAACAAGATTGGGAAGAGATCCGTGGTCCTGTTGAAATTCAGGGAAGAGTAGGTGGATGACTCAAGAGTCAAATAGCAGCTACAATAAATCTTTGGCTCATCCAGACTTAGAATCAAGGCTGTGCCCTTTATAAAGGCTGCTCCTGAACACCCCTGGCTTCTGAGCCTTTGTGAGCGTTGGATGAACTCCACCAATGCACCACCTCTGCTTACACAGCGGGACGTTTCACCTGCCTGTCCGCTCTGCCTGCTGCTGGTACCTAGCCCTATTTTCTTCCTCCGAGTCACATCTATTTTGCACTTTCCAGAAGAGTTAACACTCTTTTCACTCTTTTCAGCGACCGGATCTATACAATACCAAGCCACACTTGCCCTCCAACCCCCCCAGTTCCACGTACCCTCCCTGAGCTCTCCAGCACAGTGCCTCATTTTTACAGCTTTTCACTGGTTGGATTTTCCACCCCCTTTTTCTCCTGCCCTGGTGGAGCAGCCCAAAGCCAGGTCCCAGCTCAAGGCTCGCTCTGAGCTGTTATTCTGCAGCAAACCCCGGGTTTCTGGGGCAGTTGTCAGTGCTGTGGGAGCGCACGGCTATACAAAGCCAGCTTCCCTTCCTTGTGCTAGGGCTCAGCTGCTCCTCCCTGCACACGCTGCACGGTGAAAGAAGTCTTTAAACCCTCCATTGTTGTTCCTCTAGCAGGGAATTAATAGACACCAATAGCACTTAATGATTTCCTTACTCTTCAGATGAAACTATTAATTAAAGGCCTGGTTTTAGTCAGCCACTGGCATTTACCAGTTTTAATTGCTTTTCTTGGCGCCTGGGTGGAATACCGTGTTCCACTGGCTCATTCCTCCTGAGCAGCAATTACTTGAGTAGCGTGGCCACAGCGTTAGCACCCTCATTAGGGTCACATCCTCTCCCTTCGGGCTTCCCCATTGCTTTGGGACATTCTTCTCTTCATTCCTTCCTTTTCCTCCTAACCTTTGATTCCTTAACTCTCAGAAAATTTTGTTGTTGCTGTTGTTTTGGTTTGTTTTTTTTTTTAATCCCACCCTGAAAACAAACTAAGAAACTGCTACTGACTGCAAAGCTTCATCCAGGTTCAACCGTGGCCTTTCTGGGTGTTTGCCCTCTATTTTAACACACCCCACAGCCCTTTCCCCGTCACATAGGGGATGAAACACAAAACAGTATTCTGGCCAGCAGGTAAGATGCTGTGATCTGTCTGCCCTTTAACGAGTGCCTTAGAGACTGAGTCTAACTCAGTTACCTGTCCCTTGGACACGGATGACACCTGGTGGCTTGGAAGAAACAGCCCCCAGACTTATCCCTAAGAGCATACGCGTATTATTTGGGACAGAGCAGCTCTTCCCCTAACCCCCACAGCAAGGGCTTGCTAGCTAGAGCATAGCTTTATCCGCTGAACTGCTGATTTACTATTTCCTCCATGAGCCTCAGTGGCAAGGAGTCAGGCAGCCAATTCCAATCCCTTTGTGAGATTCAATTAAGCCATTAATTAAGCGATGTCAGTGTCCTCTAACGGCTGGCTGTACACAAGCGGGCGAGGAGAAGGGGACGGACCCCACAACGCTACAAACCTGTGGCCATAGGGGTGGCTCACCGCAGCCCATCTGCCAGGGGAACCTGCACGGGTTCTTACGCTTTCCCTCTGTGCACAAATACCTGGCTGCAGATCTGCACGAGGCAGGTCCCCAGCTGGGTGTTTATAACCCCAAAACGCCCCTCGGGAGCCTCTGGGAACTCAGGGTTCAAGCCAGGCTGTGTTTGGCACTCAGACTTGGGCAAATAATCACGCCCTGCGTCCCCGCGCAGCTGCCCCTCCAGCCTCAGCCCCTGACCTCTCAGACCAAGCAGAGATCAAGGACCCTCAGGTTGTTTTTGTGCTTTTCCGCCGTCCTCCTTTCCCCTCGAGAGGCATTAACGGATGCTCAACAGCGGTGGGAACCGCTCAGGGGTTTTATTAATGAACTGCCTAATAGCATCCAAGTCCCCGGGCTGACGGTGAAGGGTCCTCTCGGGGAGCTGCAGAGGGGAGCCAAGCCTTGCTCCTATTTCCTTATTTTTTTCTTTTTTTTTTTTTTTTTTTTTTGAAACCACTCACACCTCCTCTGCCGTGCCCTCCCAGCTCCCCTTCTGCTCCTGCCACTTCTCAGGGTCTTTTTGTTCCTTTGGAGTTCACAGCTCACCTCCTACACCCCTCATCTGATTGCCCGAGGCTGCGCACAGCGCCAGGACCTGGACCAAAACCTCTCCGCCGCCAGGGAGCCCCAGCAGCCACCCCCAGAGCCCCCCTTGCAGCACGATGCGCTCCTCGGGGCCTGCACTCAGTCACTTTAAAGACAGCACCAAAATTGTCCCAGCACCATATTTACAGACCACTCCCAAGCCTCCCCAAGCAGTAACGACAGCCCTCAAAACCTTCCTGAAGCACCATCCTCGGTGCTTCACCACTTCATGGTTCACTTGGCAAAGCCAAACTCGCAGCCACAGCACCAAACACTCCGGCTTTCAGCCCCTTTTCCTCCACTTGCTCCTCTGTGCAGGAGCAGACCGGCTTTCCCACCGCACGCAGGACTTCAGCTAACAAATAAAACGCAGCCGGGCAGTAGAAAGATGCACATTCCCCCCCGGCCTCTCAGCAGCCGCCTTTTCAGCAGCTCCCAGGCTGAGGTGGTAAAATACGGCTCCAATCTCTCCGCGCAGCAGCCCGCGGGCAGGCAGCTCGCCCTCCTAATTGCCAGGAATGGTCCCCACGCTGCCCCTCGCCAGGAGCTGGGCGCTGCCTTTCATTGTGCTCCTGCTGCATCCACGGCAGAGGTAAATGTCCAATTTCCTGAGCTGTCAGGGCCAAGCACTACCCAACGGCACCAGCACAGGGACAGAGACGGGGCAGCCCCTGGGCTCTTCTATGCGGCAGGGAAGCCTCAGCACCAGGAGATGCTCCAAAACCAGCTCCTTGCACAGAAATCCCTACAAGAGGGCAAGTATCGCCGTGCCACGTGTTGGCCCCGTGTTACAGCACACCTCGTTTGGTCGCCAGCCGCCCCTTCTCCCTTCCAAGGGGGGATTTGGGCAGCGCTGAAGGCAGGGCTGCCACGGTGACCCAGCTGCGCGCTGCCGCCGCTATCAGCACGGCCGATCTGGGCCTTACCCTGACCTCAGGATGGGCTGAAAATACCAGTGCGGCGGTAATGAAAGCCATCCTTCAAGGCTGGAGAGCTGGGAGCGTGCCGGGGCTGCTCGGGGGCGATGCTGCTGTTTCAGGAGGGGTCCCCAGCGCCACTGCGGCTCGTGGCAGGAATCAACCCAGCCGCGGCTGGCTTGCTGGTGCCCCTCGCCCCTCCAAACTCGCCTTTTGACCCGTTTTCCCCTCGATTCTGGGCGCAGCAAGGCCGTTTCCAT